AAAAGTGAGCCGAGCTAAACCCTCAACCTTCTAATTAATCTTGAGTTTGGGCTTTGAAATTTATCAAGTCGAGCTCACAAAAAGAGTTTTGAGTTTTGAATGAGACTGAAGTTGACTCACAAAATGAGTTTTGAGTTTTGATTGAGACTGAGGTTGACTCGTTTGATAAACGAGCTGATTTGAACTTGCAAGCCGCACATATTTTTTTTGACAGCTCTGAATATATATGGAAGTGATCTTCAATAGGCCATGTTGTGTTTGAGATTCAACATTTTATTGGATTATTAGGGTATTTGAAAAAAAATTAAGGGCATTATATAAAATGTACGTATGTTGTTTTGGAAATTTTGAAGTGTGACATTAGTTATCGAACTATGGCTGTATGGCATGGCATGCTTGAATAATATATTACTCCCTCCGTTTTTTCCATTTTGAAATATAAGGCGTATAAAGATTTCTCAATTTTTTCGAAATATAAGGCGCGTTCAAAAATTAAGATAAATTTTTGCATTTTTTTTTTAAATATACCCTCGTTGTGTTGAAATTAAGGAAGTGTGGAGTGGTTGTCATTAGAGTAAATAAGGTTAATTTAGTTAATTTATTTATTAATTAATGTCTCCTTAATAGTTGTGCAATAACCTTAAATGCCTTATATTTCAAAATGGAGGGAGTAATATACTTATCGATAAATATACTACAACATATTGTTAAAATAATTAATGCGCTCGTGAATTCTTATCACCGTACATAATGCCTTTTGTTGGGAAATGGTCGGCAAGTAAAGGTAATGACATATATGTAAATTATGTATAAATAATGGTATTCCTATATTAATATTAGTGGGCCCAAGCAAATTTAAAGGTCCAACTATATGTACACAAAATTATTGTTAGAAATTGCATTAAAATGTCTTCAAGACCATCATGAAAGGAATTCGGCGGGCCATCCAGCCTGTTGGTATGAACATGTTAAAGTTGCTAGATATTTATGTTTTTCTATCACTTTTTCACCCATTGCTTTTGATTAATTAAATTTCATCATCTTTATTTAAAATTAATATATTCAAGTGCAAATTTATAAAGATATAAAACAGAGGTGAATTAACATTCATATAGACCAACTTTAGGCATTTTCTGTAGATGGATGTGTGTTTGGGATTTTGAGTGACATTTTGATGAGAGTTTTTAAAATTTTTGAGATTTTTTAATATTTTAAGATTTTTAAGTAATTGTATGAAATAAGTTTGAAATTGAGATTTTGAGTGAGATTTTAAGTAAGGTTTTTTATTTTGTAATCTCAGCAAATCTTAACAAATCATAATATCAAATACGTTAAATATTTCAAAATTTTGTAAGAATTTTTAAAAATGATTATCTCAAGACTTATAAAAGTCTTAAAATATCTTAAAAATCTAAATTAAATACAACAACATTTCTAAATTTTTACAAAATATTTAAAAATCTCAAATAAATACATCTCATTTATCTCTCTGCACATTTAACTTTGTACATTCTAATTCCAAAGAGCTCATATCCTTGCACGATTGTTCACACGTGCATTGATTAATTTGCATTTTCCAAATAACTATTTCAAGAGAGTATTGAGGATTAAAATAGTAATTTCAGAAGATTCGGCTAGTGTTATAACTTGTATGTTTTATTTAGGGTATATTATGTAAATTTGCCTAAAGAATGAAACAATATGCAATATTACAGCATTTACAATGCATTGGTCTATTTTTACTTATGTGGCGTGTAACAAAATAAAAGTCTCAGATGACATTGATAAAAATATATAAAATTAATAAAATTCACTCAAATGTAAAGAAACTAGGTCTTTATTTGAGTTTAAAATAGATTTAAGGGTAGATCGAATCTTTATTTCTTGCTGCCACATCAGCAGAACCCAATCTACGTGCACTTGCATTGGAGAATATATTTTTTTAGACTAGGAGTCTAGGTCTATTTCCTATATGATATATAATTTTTTTTGATCGAACCCAATGTTGGAATATCACTTGTGAGTTGTCCCACATTGATTCTACAGAGAAAATGAGACTAGTATATAAGCCTAGTGGGCTACTCCTCCCATCACCAATTGGTTTTGGGATGAAACCTCACTATGGTGCACCTAGGCTCACCCTCTTATGGTGCGCTTCATCTGGTGGGACCGCACTCGATCTCTTCTCCCGATTCTATAAACCTAATACCCAATGCATTGTGGATGCTCGGAGAAAAGTCTTTGTTTTTGTTTTGTTTTGTTTTTTTTTTTCTTTTTTTTTTAAAAAAAAA